ATGTGGATCATAACAAATTATAGACAACATTGTAAAGAATGGGAAGGAATTCCAGAAGACTTAATTGTGCTCATGCAGAACCTGTACATAGACCAAGAGGCAGTCATTCGAACAGCACAAGGGTGTACTGTGTGGTTTAAAGTCAGGAAAGGTGTGTGTCAGGGTTGTATCCTTTCACCATACTTATTCAACATTAATATAGTTAAGGAAAAAATTACATTTGTATATGACAAAATGATTTTCTAAAAATTACATGTGTTAAATTTCTTAATAATATGATTGAATACACATTGTCTACCTAAAAATTTATTTCAAATTTATGTCAGTATAATTTTAATAGTTACAGATGCTGTAAGAATTCACTTTGCAGTCAAAAAGAACACAAGAACATATTATCACTATTGCTCAACATTATTCTGGATATACCTCCAGAAGATAGTGAAAGAGACAAGAGAAGTGTAAAAATTGTAAATATTACAGTTATTTCCTGATACTATTATTCCTTACCTAGAAAAAAATATATAATAATTTACTAAGATAGCAGCAAAATAAATACACAAAACTCAATGGTTATTACATATAAAGGATACAACTACTTATGTAATTAATATTCATGAGAACAGAAGATGTAAATAGCCAGGAAGTTTCAAAAATTACTTAAAAAATAGAAAAAGATAATGTGAGAGCAGTAGACTTGAAGAGATATTCAAACATATCAGTAACCAAAATAATTAAAGCAACGTGGTACTGGCACATGAATTCACAAAGAGATTCAGATATATATATGAATTTAGTGTATTCTAAGAAGAGATCCACTTGTACCTGGAGCGTCAGGAAAAGGCTAGTATTCGTGCCCAGAATAAATGCAGACACTGCTTGGAAAACCAGTGCCTAAAATCAGCGGGAACTGATTGTAAGGAGCAGCTCATTCAAGTGAGACAAGAGAATTTTTTTTAAAAATTTAATTTCTAGGTTTTAGAAATCAGTAAAAAATAAATCTCATTGACAGCTCAAAGTTTAAATATACATATGGGAACATTGCTGTCCCCTGAGTCTGCCCAGTGCAGGTCTGGGAATGGCCAACTCCTTCCTTTAGGGAGTAGGAAAGAGTTATCAGAAGTGTGTGTGTG